GGGTCTTTATAAATTATTGTTCCCCCATTACAAAGGTCCTGGAGTTGTGAGATGGGGAGGGGATCAGGGAAAGGGAAGAGGTAAGTGATGAGAAACTCACACCTGCTTCTCAGAATTAATTTATTTTTCAGGTAATCCCAACCTTCTTTGCAATCAGGAGAGCGTTAAACTCCTTAAGACGTACACATTCCCCCAAACAGGTCATCTCTAAAGCTAGGGGATGCTCGTGGATTCGGGAAGAGCATCCATGTTCATACCCTTCCATCCTCTTTTCTGACTACCTGCGGGTAAGTATCCCCACCACCTTTTAATTGCCATCATCAAATGTACTTTTCAGTCCCGGCCATGCAAATAGCACAGAGGAGGGACTTCTGTGACTGCAGGGCACTCACTGCACAAGAATCTGTGTGTCTGTCACTTTAGGGGAATGGGTTTTTTTTTTTTTTGGCCTCTTTTTCAGTCTTAAGGAAGAAGTGGCCTCTCAGATCACTTACAAAGAGCAAACTCTCGTGCCAAGATGCTAAGAAGCAGGAGTGGACATCGGATACGGTACAGCCCACATGTTTTTCCAAGAAATCCTAACCCTGTGGTGGGAGGGCCTGTGGTGAACTCAGAAGGTCACAAATGCTAGAGGTGGAAGATAAGAGATTAGACAGCATTCTGGAATTGTTACCTTGCCATTATTTACCTCAGAGACTTTTCGGGCAAGGAACCCTTTAAAAAAAAAAAAAAGGCAATAGCTAGATTTGTGATAAAATTAGTGATATGAGAAGTGAAAATGAGGCAAACCCCATTACAGAGGAAGTTAATTTGCCTTTATAGTCAACTGGTTTTCCACATCAGAAGTGAAAAGATAGATACTGCCACACATTAAAAATCGCCAACAGGAACAATGATAATCAAAATAGTGACAACCCTATAGATCCAGAGCCGCTAAGGTTTTTTTTTTTTGTCCTGAAAGATGGGAAAAGGATGTGTGTGGGGGTGTGTGTACAAAGAAAGAGACAGGCAGTCAGAGAGATCCAGAGATAGAGACACACCCAGACGAAAAAGGGCAAGAAATCTAAGTGGGAGTCTATTAAAAAAACGCTACCAGAAGTGGACTCAGGGGCTCTATCTAGTATCACGGGTGGGGGCTGGGTCCTCCCCACCTCAGAGGCTGTGACTCTATCTCAGGTTTTCTGAAAGGGTTTTGATTTAATGAGGTTTCTTTGTTTTTGGTCAAGGTGATGCATTCAGTGGACAATTAAATGCCATTTATTTTTTATGCTCTGCAAGAATTTTCATCTAAACGTGATGAACATGATGCGAATAAAAGAGTCCCAAGATAGGCTATCTGTCATCATTTTTGGTTCTGAAAGGATGGCAGCTTCAGGGATGTCAGCGCACTAACTCTACTAGCCACTGGGTACCATGGTTTGATATGACCGAATCCAGACCCAGGAACATCCAGGATGTTTCCATCAGAATGAGGAAAATGCTCGAAACAAAACAAAACAAACAAACAAACAAACCCTCTTTGGACAAAGGTTTGACACCATGGTCGTGATCATTACTAAGTGATGTCAGAAAAGGTAGGTGCCTTTGCTACTTCTAACTTTCTACCTTCTCCAAACTCTCCACCACTCCCTGCCTAGATGATGGAGTTGACATTTTAGGAGTGACCAAACCCTAGAGATGAAATCAATATTCCTATGCTCTATTCGTGATCAGGGCTCAGTTCTTCCCAAAGGGACTGGCCACATAGGACGTAGCAATTCCTAGGGGGGACTCTCAGTTATTCTGAGGGAATGGAGATGCTCCTTTTCTTGCCCACAGCCTTGGGGTCTAAGGGGAATGCTTACTTCCAAGTTGAGATATGGCTTGTGAGTTGCAGGTGGTCATAATTCACCAACTTGGCACCAGACGGTCACAAGCCCCAAAGACTTCTTCTCTATTGAGAAGGCTACACACAAAGTCTTGTATTTGGAGTCAGTATGTACCTTCCCATTTTTTCCTCCCAAATCCAGGCATTTTAGCTATAGTGGTGGGACTATGGGGTCCTGGGACCAGGAAAAGACCTTATGCCAATCAGGAAGAAGGCGGACCAGGGGTTGAGGTAAAGTTGGATGACTAGAGTCTGGATTTCTCTTTGGATCCTGAGTGCCACACATCAGTCCAAGGGTGGAAGTGAAGGATAAAATTTTGTCTCAGCACCAAATCAACATGCTTTGTGTGACTTTTTAAAAAACAACTGGTCAAGGAAGCAACAGAAAACGGTCATGGACATCAGTGGTGTGGTTAGAAAGATGCAGCAAAAATTTCAAAAAGGATGGTCTGCATATTTACTCATTATAAAACAAATGGACCTCTGGGCCTCTCAGTAGGTGGCCTGGGTGGAGTCCAGTTCTTTCTGGAGGTAATTAGGTTTTAACCTTTTTACTCTGTGAGGGTCAGGGAATCTTGTGAGAATGTTGGAGAAGCTCTAGCCCTGCGCTGTCCAAGGTGGCCACGAGCCATGTGATGCGGCTGACAGCTGGAGAACTGGCCAGTCCGAACGGAGAGGTGTGTGAGTGTAAAGCATACACTGCCCTTAGAAGATTTAGTACGGAAAAAGAACGTCAAGTATTTCGTGAATACTTTTTACACTAATTACGTGTCAAAACAATAATATTGGCTTAAAGAAGGATATTATTAAAATTACTTTTACCTGTTTCCTTTTGCTTTTTAAAAATGTGGCCAGTAGAAAATTACATGTGGGACGTGTACTATATTTCTGTTGAACAGTGCTGGTCTAGACACTAAAGAAAAATACACATCAAGTCTTCATACACCTCTAGAAAGTTCCCACACCCTTTGATACTCTTTGAGCTACCGGGGCCCCAGGTCAGAGTTTCTTCTTCGTTGGGGAGGAGGTGAAGCAGGCTGTGGAGGAAGGATTGTTTCCATTTTTTTTTTTTTTGAACACGTCCCATGCCAGTTAACCTTTTTTGTTGTTGTTTGTTTAAAACTACCAAAGCCATAAGAAAATTCTTCAGAAACAAGCCTTCGGTAAAGGAGAAACTTCTAGGCTCAGCGAGTTCGCAGCAGAACCTCCTTGGGGTCAGGTCCACAGGCCTCAGATTGGCCGGCTGGGCCCCTCATCCCCTATGCAGCATCTTATAGGGGCTGCTGGGCCACAGCGCACATAAGCACCCAATTCCTGATCTACCTGGTCGCTGGCAGGAAGAGAGAACACCCATCAATCCAAAAGGCATTTTCTCTCTGGGCATGGAATACAATTTATATTTCCTTTGCTGTTGAATTGTCCTTCTAATTCCCCTTGACTTAATACCAAAATTTGTTTTGGACAAAGCTGACTGAAGGAGAGGTCGGCAGTGCAGGCCTTCGCTGACCAGGAAAAAGAAACACCTGGAGACGAAGAATTCCACACTGAGAACGAGGATTTGAAAGTATCCAGAGACTGCAAACTGTGACTAAGTGTGGTTTTTGTTTTTATTTTTTTTGGCTGCGTTGGGTCTTCGTTGCTGCGCGCAGGCTTTTCTCTAGTTGCGGCAAGCAGGGGCTACTCTTCGTTGTGGTGCACGGGCTTCTCACTGCAGTGGCTTCTCTTGTTGCAGAGCATGGGCTCTAGGTGCGCGGGCTTCAGTAGTTGTGGCACACAGGCTTCGGTAGTTGTGGCTCGCAGGCTCTAGAGCACAGGCTCAGTAGTTGTGGTGCACGGGCTTAGTTGCTCTGCGGCATGTGGGATCTTCTTGGACCAGGGCTCAAACCCGTGTCCCCTGCATTGGCAGGCGGATTCTTAACCACTGAGCCACCAGGGAAGCCCTAAGTGTGGTTTTTAAAGCAAGGCAAAACAAAACAACTCCTACTTGCACTTAAAATTCAGTCATTTAGATAGTCTCAGCCACGCAAGAGTGCCAAATCCCAAAAGCTGTTATATGTTACATGTCAAGTAACTGTGCCTCCCCAAGGTAGAAAGTCTGCTATATGTCATAGCTCTCTGTTAAAAATGGATCCCCCGGGGCTTCCCTGGTGGTGCAGTGGTTGAGAGTCCGCCTGCCGATGCAGGGGACGCGGGTTCGTGCCCCGGTCCGGGAGGATCCCACATGCCGCGGAGCGGCTGGGCCCGTGAGCCATGGCCACTGAGCCTGCGAGTCCGGAGCCTGTGCTCTGCAACGGGAGAGGCCACAACAGTGAGAGGCCCGCAAAAAACAAACAAACAAACAAACAAAAAGCATCCCCCGGCAAAATGCTCATTAGTGGTCCTAAGACCAGAAAGAGGCTTGGGCATCATCTTGTTAATCTCATTCACTTACAGATGGAGAAGCCGAGGCCCAGCACGCACGCTGCTCATCTATGCCTCCTGACTCCTGATTTGGCACTGCCTTCATGTCTCCCTGCCTGGAGACCCTGGATTTCATTACTGCAAGTGTTGGACTCCTAGAGAGATGTGACATTTGTGAAGGTGGTGATCATTTTCCTTGCTTTGCTGCCTACTTAGAAAGCGTCAAATAGGAAATTGTTCAAGGTGGTGAAAAAAGAGCAGCCAGGGGTCTCCCTTGACACATACACCGTGTTCCAGCAGGCAGCAAGCTCTTACAGCAGAACAAAACTCTGTTTTTGCATGAGTATGTAGGTAGCGAGAAGAAGGGCCTCATCACATACATAAATAACTCAGTGAGAGAAGCTTTCTCTCCCAGGTAACCCACGCAGCAGCATGGCCTTTCGCGGATGTCGAGGTGATCCATCTAATGGTCCAGAGAAGCTATTCACACTGCCTTAGTCATCCCTGCACCTGGAGAGTCTCAGTGTATTACAAAACTGCCCACTGAAGAAAATAGCACACCTCTGTCAAAAAAAGAATAAAAACAAACAGTTTAAAAACACCGGTGGGGGGGAACTCCTTGGTGGCGCAGTGGTTGAGAGTCCGCCTGCCGATGCAGGGGACACGGGTTCGTGCCCCGGTCCGGGAAGATCCCTACATGCCGCGGAGCGGCTGGGCCCGTGAGCCATGGCCGCTGAGCCTGAGCGTCCGGAGCCCGTGCTCCGCAGTGGGAGAGGCCACAACAGTGAGAGGCCGGCGTACCGCAAACAAACAAACAAACAAAAACACCGGTGGATTTTTAGAATTCACTTTGATACCTCGTTTCCTTTCCCTCTTTGTCTCTCTCAGTCAGGAGAAACTTGACATCAACAATTCCCATGCTGTACTTTTTAGATCAAATGGTTTATCAAATCACACCTCCCTCCTCACTTGGTATCTAGACGCAGTCAGGGGAGCCCTGGGAAGCAATTTCTTAAGGATTTACCTAAATCCTCCCTCGAGGTCTGGCGAGGTTGAACAGAAGCATATTGGAATTAAGGTAAGACCTAGATGCTACTGCAGCCCTCACTGTGTTGGATCCAAAGATGACTGGATCTTTTCTAAAGCTTCCATCTCCTACAGAACCCATTTGTGGAGGTAACAAAAGACTGCTGTAGCCTTGGGGAAACAGACATTTTGCTTTTGGGAAGAGTATATGGTTTCTGGTTTGAAAACTAGGCTTGCAGTCCCAGTGACGGACAAGCCCTACAGCCACAGAGAATGGCGCTAATGCCCTAGTGGGAACTTGTGAGTTCAGAATTTCAGCCAAAGACTGTTAAGAATCAGATGGATTGAAGTGCCTCCCTAGAGCTTCCTTCTCAAGTCACGTGGGTCCTCAACAGAGCCTGGCAAGTGGAAGCCAGTGTGTGGAGCTAAAAAAAATGAGCAGTGGCCTCAGCAGATTCAGAGCTTGGTGTTGGGGTCTCTGGCAGCTGGCATTTCCAAGATCCACTTAAAAGAATTCAGATTCTAAACGAAAGCTGGCCTTAGACTGTTTCAAGGTGCTGAGGCACTTCCTAAAGCCATGCACACTTCATGCTGAGAGGTCAAGGCCATTAATCTCAGAGATGGAATACAAACTGGTCATAGCAGGAACTGAGGCTTCTAAACAGAACTCTACAAAAGCTGGAGTGAATCAAAGGAAAAACAAAAGAGTGAACATAAACTACACATAGTCCTTAAAAAGAAAGTGCCAAAGAAATCAACAACATTCCCCAAATAGGAAAACAAGAAACTGAAATGAAACTAAGAAGCCCTAAAAGTGTCTTTTCAGTCCGTTTGAGGAACTTCGGAAGTGTGTGCCTACAAGGACATGGGAGAGAAAATCAGCTTTCAACGTCAAAGGTGCCAAGGCCATGAGCTGTTGTAGAGATGGAGAAACTGCATCCTGATGAACGTGACTTTGGGTATTGCTTTTCGGTACCATTCTTGTGTGGAGTGCCCTGGAGTTGCCAAGGTGGTCTGGAGGTGCATGTGCCTGGTCCAGTCTTGGGGCACTCCTCCCTTCCTTCCCCTTGGGTCCTATCATCCCTTTTTTCTATATTCGCCATTTCAAGATTTCACCTCTTCGCAGTCTTGGTCGGTGGAAAGTTCTACATCAGACAGTCCAACCTCCATTGCCATGATCAGCGAGATGTCAGAATCACTGCTTATAGCTGGTTCCTGCTCACCTGGTGGGGGGAAACAAAGTTCACAGTGAACACTGAGCTCTGTCTTCAGATGCTGATTATTTCAATACAACTGCCTTTAATAACATTTCATTGAAGCCCAAGAGAAGGTATTAGGCTACTTCGTAAAAAAAAGAAAAAAAGTCTAGTTAGAGACTTTTCTCACACTACATCCCCAAATAAATTCTAAATGGGTCAAGAAGTTAAATGTAAACAAAAGAAACTAATGAAGCCAGAGGAAAATATATCTTATAAGTATATATCTAAGTAGGAAGACAATATATCTAACATCTCTAAGTAAGGCAAGAAGTGCTACATGGAAAAGCAATTGAGCAATTCACAGATGAAAAGATTGATAAATGTATATAAAATTCTAAAAATATTAAAAACATGAAACATAAGATCAAAGGTATATGTCACACTGGGAATATCTGCAAAAATTTCACAGAGGATTATATTCATTTTTTTGTTTTTGTTTTTTTTAACTTTATTATTTTTTTTATACAGCAGGTTCTTATTAGTTATCCATTTTATACATATTAGTGTATATATGTCAATACCAATCTCCCAATTCATCACACCACCATTCCCCCCTCCGCGCCACTTTCCCCCCTTGGTGTCCGTACGTTTGTTCTCTACATTTGTGTCTCAGTTTCTGCCCTGCAAACCAGTTCATCTGTACCATTTTTCTAGCTCCACATATATGCGTTAATATACGATATTTGTTTCTCTCTTTCTGACTTACTTCACTCTGTATGACAGTCTCTAGATCCGTCCGTGTCTCTACAAATGACCCAATTTCGTTCCTTTTTATGGCTGAGTAATATTACACTGTATATACGTACCACATCTTCTTTATCCATTCGTCTGTCGATGGGAATTTAGGTTGCTTCCATGACCTGGCTATTGTAAATACTGCTGCAGTGAACATTGGGGTGCATGTGTCTTTTTGAATTATGGTTTTCTCTGGGTATATGACCAGTAGTGGGATTGCTGGGTCATATGGTAATTCTATTTTTAGTTTTTTAAAGAACCTCCATACTGTTCTACATAGTGACTGTATCAATTTACATTCCCACCAACAGTGCAAGAGGGTTCCCTTTTCTCCACACCCGCTCCAGCATTTGTTGTTTGTAGATTTTCAGATGATGCCCATTCTAACTGGTATGGGGTGATACCTCACTGTAGTTTTGATTTGCATTCCTCTAATAATTAGTGATGTTGAGCAGCTTTTCCTGTGCTTCTTGGCCATCTGTATGTCTTCTTTGCAGAAATGTCTGTTTAGGTCTTCTGCCCATTTTTGGATTGGGTTGTT